CGGGTCGCGGAGAATGAACTTGCAGGGAACCTAGGAGTTTGAGAAGCCTGAGAAAGAGCCAGGAGTTAGGGAATGTAAAGCAGCGCTCACACAGGAGAAAGGCAAATTTCAACTCACAGGCCACTCCTGCAGGGCGCAGGGGTCCAGCTCTTGGCTGCTAACCCTAAGTCACAGCTGGGGTTACAGGTGGGTTTCTCCCACCAAGGCAGAAGGATTTGGCAACCCGCTTCCCGAATGACTGCAGCCTTGGAAACCCCATGAGAAGTTATTATCTGCAACTCTGGGTCGCTGCCAGTCAGGAATCTACCTGGAAACAATGGGTTTAATCATTGCTCTGGGATCCACTCAGGGAACCCTGGTGTTGTAATGGTTACGCGTTGGGCTGCGACCCGCAGATGGTCAGCAGTTCAAAGCTACCAGCAGGCCCACAGAAACGGGGCTTTCTGAAATACGGTCCCGGAAAAAGCACGAGGGGTCGCTGTTAGCTTAAGGACGGACAGTCCAGATGGCTGTTGGTTCTGAGAGGCGGTGGGGGTGGGGTGGGAGTGCTCTGGGGGTAAGATTGTCCTATGTAACCCAAGTGGCTCTTAAGAAATTATGGTGAAAATATGTAAATTTACAATGTACAATCCAATGATAGTATTTTCTCATATTGTACCTTTTTAATCACTCCCTTTCCAAATTACTCCACTACCTACCATTCACATAAGTGGCATGTACCCCAAGCAAAATTTCTCCCTCTTCACCCCTGGATTTCTGTATATTATGCCATAAAAGTGGGAGCATACAGGGTTTGTCCTTTTGAAAATGATTTAAGCAAAATGTTTTTAACTTCTCAGGTTCTTTCTATGTGGTTGGAGAACATTTGCTATTTTTTTAGACTTGTTATCAGGGCTTCATTTCTTCGTGGCTGAGTAACCCATTGTGTGCATATAGCACGTGTTTATCCGCTCATGTGTTGGACATATTGGATATTGTCAGAACTGTAGTGCTGTGATGAACATTGGTGTGCAGGTTTCTGCCAGTATTCCTTTTTACATATAGGTACATATCAAGGACAGTGATTGCTGGTTCATGTGTTTTTTGTTCAACTTGTAGAACAGTGGCAGCACTGATATTCTCCCCAGCTGTGGAGGAGCCCTGGTGGAGTAATGGTTATGCACTGGACTGCTCACAAGGTCTGTAGTTTGGGATCACCAGCCATGCCAAGGGAGAGAGATGGGGGTTTCTACTCTGGCACAATGAGTGTTGGAAACTTGGGGCAGTTCTGCTCTGCCCTTGAAGGCAGGGAGTGTGGTTTGGTGGAGGAAGGGTCCAGTTCCTCCCCAACATTATCAGCATGTTTTTCTCTTTTGTTTTGATCATTGCAATTCTAATACGAGTTCTCAACTTGATTTGCATTTCCTGAACAGCTGAAGTGAGGTCTTGGTGCTTCAGTGGTTGGCTAACCCAAAGGTCAGGGATTCCAGCCAACCAGCCACGTTATCAAAGACCCAGCAATCTGTAATGTTGGAACTGACTAGGTAGCACTCAGTGCTTCACCATGTTGAACATCTTTTCATGTCCTGTTAGCCACTTTAATATCCTCTTGGGTTAAAAATGCCTGTTCAAGGCCTTAGCTTGTTTGATTAAAGAACTTATACACAGATGTACACAACACTTAACTGGAAGATTTCTCCAATCTGAAGGCTGTTTCTTCACTTTGTTGGTAATGTTCAATGATAAATGAGGCTTCATAAAAATTTATTACTTTATCAGTTTTTTCCCGATTGTATATTTGTTGCTACAGCTGGTAAACTGCTATTTAACCAGCCCTGTAGTCTTGTCCCTAAGATCTTTGTCATTTTCGGGGTGAGGCATGAGTCCTAATACATTTTTGGCATGTAAAAGACCTACTTTTGTAGGGCCGTTTGTTGGAGAAACTTTATCCCTTGAATATACTCTCAGCATTTTTGCCAGATACAGGAATGTATTCCTGGGCTCTTAATTTTATTCTACAATGGTTTATATGTCTATTATACCAGGCTGTTTTCAAGCCTTACTAAGGTAAGCCATGGTATTTAAAGTGAGGAAACTTGAGCCTCTTCATTATTCAGTTGGGCAGGGGTGGGGATCAGACGGATTTAGAGGTTAGAAGTGAGCGTTGCTGAAAAGTGTCAGCCCATAGTGACTAGGCTGGGTGATCTTGGCGCACATGTGACTCCCACTCTTTCTTGCTGCCTCACAGGGCTCACACTGTGTCCTTCTGGCACGTAATTCTAGTTTTGCGACCCCTTATGTCTGGCATTCAATCTAACATGCCCTCCATATTGGGCTTTTTCTCTGTGTAGCATATCTGCATAAGGCTTATTGCTCAGAAGTTAATGTTTATGTGGCCCCATTTCAGACGATAAAAGTATATGAAAACACTCTTCCAGTTCCGATTTTAGGAGGTCTTAGACCATGTTGGTTCTTTCAAAAAATATTTTCCATCTAAACACTTTTCATGTAGTAGCTATTTCATCCAAACCCAAGTGTACACCACTTGCTCACCTAGTGGATTCTGACTCGAGGCAGAAATAGATCGACCGGCCTTTCTTTCCAAAGTGCCTTTGAGGACTGCAGCCTCCTGCCTTTGGTTAGCAGCTGAGACAGCTAGCTTCCTGCTGGCCTCACCCAGAAATCCCCCAGGACGTTGTCTTTGCTTACTACTTAGCCGTCTGACAAGCAATATGTGTGTGTTTCAGATCACACTAGGGCCAAGTTTGACCTCGATATGCTGGTTTCACTTCTGAGGCAAGAAAACGCCAGAGACATTTGTGTCATCAGCGTTCCTCCTGAGATGAAATATACAGATTATTTTGTGATTGGGAGCGGCACCTCCACCCGACATTTGCACGCCATGGCCCACTACCTTGTGAAAATGGTAGGATGCGCCCTCCTCTCTTTGGGGTTACCATCGGGGTGGGATAGTGTGATAGCGTCAGGCTGAGGAGCAAAGTACACCTGTCACACGAGGTTGCAGGAGAAGCCTAAATTTCAAGATTTGGATGTTTCGTTGTTGATAGTGAAAAACTATGGGACAAACAGCCCCATTAAATCAGGATATTCTGCGTCTTTTTTGACTACAGAGGGGTAAATACAAGATAAATAACCCGAGTGAGGCTAGAATAGGGCCAGAGAAGTTTTTAGAGCTTTGTTGTCTAAATGATAGCTGGTAGCCACATGCGACTATTTAAATGCATCGAAGTTGTTCAGGGTTTGCTGATGGTACCCGTGCTGGATGGCACATTTCCATCTCTGCCAAAGCTGTGGACAGTTGTAATTTAGAGCTGAATCCAACTGTGTGAGCAAGTCCAGTGTTCCCAAGCACTGCGCTGGGTATTGTGGAAGTAGAGAAAGGCCTAGCCCAGGGAAGGGAAAATGAGCTTTCTCATTCCAGCAGAATGAGGAAGAACTTGTGTATTGGAAACCACCTCTGGTGCTTCTCAGCTGTACAGACAACAGTCAAACCCAGAGTAGAGCTGGGATTGCCTAGGCCAGGGCACAGTGAGGGCTGGGGACAGACTCCTACCCCAAGGTGACAGCAGAAGAATGATCCCCAAGTCAAATTGCAGAGTGGAGAAGTTAGAACACAGGTTCAAGGGTTTCTGTCAGCTCTAATAGTGGAATGGAGTCAGGTGAAGATAGAGGTGACCATAAGCCTTGGAATACAAAGAGTGAGATTTTCCATAGAAGCATAGTTTCTTTTACAAACCTACTTCCATCATCACCTTTAATACATGGCCTGGCTTTTTTCAGCATAAGTTCCTGAAGTGTCAAAAGGACCCTTACGTTAAGATAGAGGGGAAGGACACCGAGGACTGGCTCTGCATGGACTTCGGTAAGTTACTTTGGTCCATTTTACAAACATTGGTTAATAATTTTTTATCACTTCTCATGTGGAAAGGCTTAAGATAAAATTGCTAAGGGTTTTTTTTCTTATAAATTCTAGAATTTAAAGTAACCAGTATTTTCCTTTAATTAGAAATCCTCATTTAACAAAGTATGCTAGATAGCGCACTCGTGGGGGAAGTGCCGTGTGCTGTGACGCTGGCTAACAGGAAAGCTGGAGTACAGGGGTGACTTAAATGACCGAGGAAGAAGGGCATTCAAACACGGAATGACACACGTTTGTTTCAAGAGGATCTTCACACAATTAGATGGCAAGACCTGTGAGTGAAGGATCTGAGATTTTAGCCTTTTCATACACTTAGCACCTACAGGCTATCTGGATAGTTTCAGCCCAGAGGGCAGTGTCACCAGACAGGAACCAGGGTCCTTCATAACAGGCGTCTTCCAGTTGCTCTTCTGACACCGTCACGCATGGTGTGGGGTCTGTGCACTGTAGGATGTTTCGAACATTCCTGCCACCCCCCAGTTGTAACCATGAAAATGTGACAAAACCATCTTTGGCTCAGGGCAGGGGGTCAGCAAATGTTTGAGGTGAAAGAGAATCTCAAAACAAAAAATTATTCAAGACCCATAAATGTGTTTTTAAAAATGAAAACACTATTTCACTATTATCTAAATAACATCCTGGAAAAGTTTCCAATTTTACTCCAAAGCCACAAGTACATATGTACCGAAAGAGCCGCATCTGGCTCTCGAGGACAGTTAGTACTTGACTTCTGAGACTGTTCACTACACACAAACACCCTTGAAGAGATAGTCCAGAACAAAGGGGTCAATGTCATGCCCACAGCTATGTGGAAGTGAACGGTAAACCTGGATAAATGTAATGTTACCAGCACCAGGAGGCCGAGCATTTCTAATTCCCAAGTGATACGGATCCAGGGACCACTGCTTTATTCCGTTCCCACAGTCATTCTGGCCAGAGATGGTTGTAGGATTACAGCTAAAGTGAATGGATAGGTTCTTCATTCTAACTCTGACCTGCCCCTGACAGGCAGCATGGTGCTCCACTTGATGCTTACAGAAACCAGAGAAACCTACGAATTAGAGAAGCTATGGACCCTACGCTCTTACGATGACCAGTTAGCTCAGATCGCACCTGAGACGTTACCTGAAGACTTCATTCTTGGATTAGAAGACGATGCTTCATCCCTGACTCCAGTGGAGTTCAAATGTGAATAAAATGATATGAACTGTTTCAATCTTTTTAGAGTTGTCCTCTATAAAGTCCTAAAACCCCACCTTGCTGGTTAGATCCTTGTTACAGCCAACGGCATCTTCCTCCCAGGCTGACACCAGGAGTTTATGTGAGGGGCTATAGAGGGTATGGAAAAAAGGGAAAGGATTTTTACTCCATGGACTCATTGAAGCCCCATCATAGCTAAGTAAACCACTAACATGAAAAATCTGTCTTTCTGGGTAGCATGGGCACCACTGTTCCTTTTGAGTTCTAGTTGTGTTTTTCTAAGTTGTCAGTTTGACCAAATGTAGAACATTCCCATTCACTTGGAACCCCCAAACAAAACATCCATCTAATGATGAAAATTTTTATTCTGCATAAAGGTATTTGGAAAGTGAAGCTGCATTGGGGGCACATTATAAACAAGGAATGATCCATACATGGTGAGTACAAAACTCAATGACAACAGATTTACTAGCTATTACCAGATATTCCCAATGCTTACTTGAAAGGAAAACATGATTGGCCATACCAAAAGGGTAGACATGAAATAGGACAGAATTTAAATCAGCAGATATAAATGCAGCACCTATCTGTATTAAGAAAAATCAAATACTGGAAAAAAACTGAGGAAGAACTCTGGCATTACACATCTCACCTGATATCCAACCAGAAAGCCAGCATCTGTTTTGCAATTTTAATTCATTGTATGAAAACAAATCGAATGCTAGATGAATTCAGTGACAAAAAGGGCACTTTTCCACTAAGACTACAAATAAATGGCTTTTCTGAACACATTTTAAACCATTTTCAAAATGTCTAATTGGTATACTGCTCTTCAGAAAAACTTAAACCTAATCCATGTAGCGATTTGTCTTAAACTATGAATGTGGCAAAATGACTTCAAGGTTATTCCCTATGCCCTTCAGATCAGTACCATGATGACTGATCATCTTATGAACAAAACACAAAACCAACGCAGAGCAGCATGGTCTTGGGGACCACCACACCACAGTCTGTAACGGCACACATGCGTCAGGCATCCAAATTACATGTCAAAGTTGCTCTCCTGCATCCCCTACTTTTTCCTTTACTTTCAAACAGCTGGTTGCAGAGTGTACAAGAAATCTCACTGCACGTTAGTTATGTCATCGTTTGTTTTAAAAGCTTCCAAATAGCCGAGTGAGGCCCACAGGCAGCGCTGGCACACTGCTGCACCATCTCCTGCTGCCCCTTGGGTCAGCTCAAAGTGTAGACCACCTGGGCTACCGTGTGTCAGCAGGCAGCGCTGGCTGAGCACCTGCCAGTCCGCCTCTCTTCAGTGGCACACTTTCCTCGGTAGCGATGATAGTCAGAAGCACAAAGCATTTATGCACCAGTCACATAGCCAAACAAAAAGCTCAAGTCTCCCAAAGCCATTTAACAAGCTGCTCCCAAACTTCCTGCCACGACCTTGCTCTGTTAGTACCTTCCAAGTGTTCCTACCAGAAACGAGGAAGAAACGGACCTGCTGCTCTCCAAACACAGGCACTGCTCCTGACCCTGGACTACTTATTGGACCTTCCAACTAAAAGCCGTGTCAAAAAGCCTCAAAAATCCTTATTTTTCCAACCAGCCAGAGGTAAATTCTGTCCTCAATTATTTGCCTGTTAGCTGGTTGAATTTGTTTTGTTTTTAAAAAGGTTTAAAAAAAAAAGGTTGGACTTTTATCTTTATAAAGTATATAAAATTTTCAAAAAAATAACAAAGCGAACAATTTTGCTTTTCATTGCATTATTGAATACCTGAGGTAGTTGAGTAAAAATGCACATTTAATACCCCTGCCAACACCTTTCAGCACTTCCCTTAGGTTATTCATGTTAGTGTTAGATAAAAATAAAACTGCAGTTCTTCTATGCTAGTGGCTTACCATTTAAGTTCTTGTGATCATTCTATTTTGATCCAATTTGACAACTGGATTTCAGAGCAGCTCATTGTTGATTTGATAAATTTAGCAAATGCATCGTTAACCCAATCTCCACTGTGACTGGGGGAACACTGGTTACACTGTGAGAATACAGCAAAAGGGAAGTGCGGAACTGCTCCCCCACCCCCCCCTTGGTTCTTTTTAAAGCTGGGTGTCACACATGTTAGAGAGCAATAAAGTATACATTCTCACAGAGACAGGAGTTCAAAAGCTGCCTGGTCCTCAAAGAAACGACTGGCTAGGTAAAAACTTGTGCACGTGATTCTGGATAGGGGTTCCGCACCCATCTGTTGGTTAAGCAATCGGTCTTTGGTTTGGCATCTCTGCCTCTGTGGTGGGCTATTTCCTGAGCCTTTATTTCCTTCTTGACTGGGGGGGTCCACTCTGCAGAGCCTTCTGCTGTTGGTGCTGCTTTACCTGAGTCAGAATTTCCTGAATTTTTCGCTGGGCAACCTGCAAAAGACAGAGCTTTGAACATTTTTACGCAAAGATCACGAAAAGTTATTTTGTCCCCCATCTTAACTCCAAACAGACTCGTGAGGATTAGGGATATTAACCTCTGGAATCAGTCTTTCCAAAGGAGGCCTAAAAAGTGGTAAGCACCCAGGACAGATTTCCCATTGTGAGCCCACTTGCCTGGCAAGCATAAAAGTGACCAGTTATTTTGACAACTACTTGGTCATTCTCATCAGGTGTCTGGTCACGAGGGACAACTACTTCTGCACTTGACAAATTTTGGAGCTCATTCACCTGGAAAAGATAAATACAAATCCTGTTAAATAGAATTTTTTTTAAAGGCTTATTTCCTGAGCATGTAATACATAAACAATCCTACAAGCCTGTGAGTATTGCCCTACTACAAGATGATTAAAACCAACCAAGACACATCCATAGAAAATTGACTTGTCCAATCATTAAAAAAATGAATGGCTGAGCAAGATCCAAACCCAGAAACTGTAAAACAGACTTAAAGGTCACTTAAATGTTCTGCGACTTTGACACCAGGACCAGTTTGCTTTGTTTAGCTACAGAGGTACACGTGTAGGTGGAACATTTCTAATTTCCATAATGCTATTTTTGCGCAATAAAAACAAAAAGTGAAACTACAGTAATAGAATGCTTAATGTTCCTCACAAACGCGATAATCCTCTCAAAGACATGAGTTATTTTCAGTAGGAGCTAGTGCCAACTCTCAGAGGAACAAAAGAGCCTTCCAACCTCAGCCCTGACAGTCCCAATTTGCATGAACTAGCCCACTAGGGGGTGGGCTCCCTCCAACACCACTGTACAGGGTTTGCTCAACTACTTGCCGTTTTGCCTCCTTTCCCAATAACCCTGCCAGCAGCAAAGGATGGCACTCTGATATGAGCTTCAAGTTTTACTTCTTCTTTTGGACTAACGAAGTTTTCTTCTTTAATTTTTCCATAAATTCTTCCCTGAGCCTATAGATGAGAACAGAGTCTATCAGTGTCCTTTGTGTTGGTAATATACAAAGCCTTAGGGCAGTGGTTCTCAACCTTCCTAATGCTGCAGCCCTTCAAAATAGTTCTTATTGTGGTGACCCCCCCAACCATAAAATTATTCTCGTTGCTACTGCCTGTAATTTTCCTACTGTTATGAATCAGGCAACCCCTGTGAAAGGGTCCTTCGACCCCCAGAGGGGTGGCGACCCACAGATTGAGAACCACTGCCTCAGGGTCTCAGCTCACTTATACCAGGTCATTGCGCAAGTTCACTTTTGGAAGACCAAAATCCCATAAGCAACCATGGGAACTCTCAAAATGAATGAGTTTGGTTTCTTTTGCAAAATTACGTTGGTAGTTTCTTTTTACTGGGTGTTTCAGGGAGAAGCCGGGTAATAGAGCGCCCGAGCAGAAGTCACCCACTCTCCGCCTCCATTCCTAACCAGGTGCACGCCCGGTGGAGGTCATACCTTGAACTGAGCCTCTGGAGGCCCAGTGATAATCACCATCCTCACTTTTGCATCTGGGGCTTCAGCTGGAGCTATCTGTAACAGACATGGAACATGGGCTGAGGCAGGCAGGCTCTCAGTGCTCTGGAGAAACCCAATGTAAACGAGTCTGACATCTATTTGCACAGGAAAGACCAAGCCAAAAGAAAAACCTGGAATAGTTAGGGAGGAGTGATGAATATGGGTTCTTCAATTACAGCTCCTGCTACACGTTATGCATTCAGTCTGCAAAACTACATGCACTCTGTTAACCTGCACCATCACTCCACTTTAAACAAGGGGAAATGGAAGGCCAGAGGTGAGCTGCCCAGCAGTAGTCACACAAGGCTACGCATGTCTTCCCAGCTCGCACTGGGGCCCTACACCAGTGATGCCTACTCGTGTACTCACAGTGGGGGCTGGGCCCAGCTCCCCTGGGCTTCCTGTTCGTGACGAATACCCCCGCAAGCACACCATGCTCCAAAGGCCATGCCTGGACCAACCTTTTGCATTTTTATGGGTAAGGACTGTATTTAGTTACTGAGCTAAGACAGCACCATTCATTTAGCAGTTTTCAGATGATCAGTCACTTCTTGTATGCCTATCAGTGGAGTACAATGAAACAAACTAACCATTTGACAAAACAGTAGTTCAAACTCTACTCTTGCACAGCATACAAAATCATTCAGAAGGTCTGCATAGGAAAGGGTGCAGAGGCTGTGTGACAGAAGCTGGCACTGGCCTAGACTGGGGTCACAGTAAGAACTGATTTGGGGATCCTGGACTTCCAGGGGCCGTTTGGGAAGAAAAGCATTAGCCAGACGGTCATCGTGCAAGTACATTCATTCTCATCCCTTAACAAACTAAGAGCAGAAAGCAAGGATGGTTACGAAAGTACTGCAAATGCCCGATCCAGAGGACTCTGACCCGAGACTTGGTAAGACCCCTTTCCAGCACACGTCAAAAGAATGTTTTACATTTAATGAAAACTACACACTGTCCTCCTCCCTCAAAATACAGCTAAGGTTTCTGTCACTGAGAACCAAAGGCCTAACAGTACTTCTACTTCATTCTGTGCTGATTAACTCTGAGTCTGAAAAGTAAGCAAATGACTTCCAAGCTTTCAGGACTATTTCACAGGAAACCCTTGGAGAGAAGATGCCATTCTCAGCTTTCCAGCAAGTTTCCCGTTTTCATTGTTTTTCTGTTTCCTCTGTGAAGACTGACACAATAGTGAAAGGCCCCCAATCAAGAAGTTCCATACAGATTATCCATTGACATCCATCACAGCTCACAAATATTCTCTATTTCGGTTCTGTAAAATTGTTTCTATAAACGTAGTTTCACGCGCCCTTAAAGTTTGCTTTGTTTTTTAAAAGCAATGGTTGACTCTTCGTCTCATGTAGATACTTATTTAAACAAACGCGCCTCTGTTGGTGACAGGGCTGGGGGAGGGCAGCAGTCGCGCACCTGCCACCTTTTTAAAGCTTTGGAAACACATGCCCTTTGACCTACCAAGTGTACTTCAGTAAAGACGGGTTACAGGAAAATGGTAGATATTTGCTGAAACAATTTTGTTCATCACCCGACTGAAATACTTCTGTTGATCCTCATATGTCACAGATGGTATAGTGGTGAACAAAATTCCTTTAGAAATGTTAGCCCTGCTGGCATAGTGGGTTGTGCAACTACAAGGTCAGCAGTTCAGATCCACTCTGTAGAAAGATGAGGCTTTCTGCCCTGGAAAAATGTACAGCCTTGGAAATCCAGAGGGGCAGTTGGACCCTGTCCTTAGGGGTCATTGTGAGTCAAAATCAACTCAATAGCAGTGGGTTTAGAAAAGGCTGTTAACGATTACAATTTGGGACTAGTAAATATGTGCACATTAAAGTGATGTGTGCATATAGATAATCACATACAGGTGGTATATGTAACTCTATACCAAAAGTTTTGAGAATGGTAAAGTCTTTCAGATGTATGTAACTAGACTTTTCAGGAAATCAAGGGAGTTTTCAACCTTATTAAAAAATACCATGGGTATCGATTGTGATGAGTTGTATGGAGCCCCCAATAAAATGTTTAAAAAAAATACCACGGACTTAATGACAGTCATTTTTCCAACCACGCCCCCTGCTGCCAGAAGCTGAGCCAGTGTGTGTTCTGTTATTCTGAGCACCAGTCAACTATACAACTGTTACAAAATGTGTTTGCCAAAACCAGCCAACCTCTTACCAAACTTTTCATAAAAATCAAATAGGAGGAAAAGCCACCACGGAAACCATTTAAGAACTGAGCCCCTTAATTCTTTTGGTGCATTAAACATAGTAATTCTAAAATACTTATTAAATTTGTATGAATGTGTCAAAAAATGTTTTTCTTAAGTTATCAATCATAACTAGCAGGACAGTAAAGCAGGCTCCTAACTTGACCTTTTGCCATGTCTTTTATTCATTTTTTGGAGGGGGTAGCTGGATTTCCTATTTAAGCATTACTTTTTGCTGCAAGGGAGTGTACGGGTTCTGTTTCTGAACAGAATGTACATTAAGTTTTAATTTACATAGTAAAATTCACTCAGTGTATGAGTTGAAGAAATTCTCAGGTGGATCAAAACCAAACCACTGCCATTGAATCAATTTCAACTCAAAGCAACCCTGAAAGAACTTCTCAGGCTATAAACCTTTATGCAAAGTAGGTAGCCTCATCTTTCTCCTGTAGAGTGGCTGGTGGGTTTGAATCACTGATTTTGCAGTTATCAGTCCAAGGCTTACCCTACAGCACCACCATGGCTCCTCAACCACATTCTGTATGGAACAATTCCCTCACAGCATTTCATCTGCTGCTGCCTCTCTCTTTCTCCTTACCAACCCCACCGCCAAACTCAGAGCAACACTTAGGACTTATTCTTTGTCTCGCTTTCTGCCGCTTCCAGAATGTCATGGAAAAGTTATCAAGTTTGTTTCTTTTCGTTGTTGAGTAATATTGTGTTAACCAAAATTTTCTTTTTCTTGGCTAATATCTAGAAGTGGGATTCATGAGTAGTGTGGTCAATGTATTTTGTTTTAAATACACTTTTGCCACTGACTCACTCTCTCACTCTCATTCACTCACTCTCATTCACTCACTCAGTTACTCTCACTCACTCACTCTCA